AAGGCAAGAAGCTGGATTCTCCTCCAGAGCCTGCAGAAAGAACATGACCCTGTAGAAAGAACATAACCCTTCAGACACCCTGACTTTATCCTAGTGAGACCCATTTCAGACTTCTCACCTTCAGAACTGTAAAGTAATACAGATATACCTCAGAAGTATTGCAATTTGGTTCCAGATGACCCCGGGAAAGCAAATATCACAATAATGTGAGTCGTGAATTTTCTCATTTCCCAATGCATATAAAAGTTGTTTACACCATACTTTATTAAATGTGCAATAACATTATATCTAAGAATACAATGTACATATCTTAATTTTAAAATGTGCTATTGCTGAAAAATGCTAACAATAACATGAATCTTCAGCAAGACATACTCTTTTTGCTGGTGGAATGTCTTGCCTCAGTGTAGATAGCTATTGGCTGATCATACTGGTGGTGGTTTTAGGTTGAGGTAGCTGTGGGAATTTCTTAAAAGAAGACAACAATGAACTTTGTTGCATCAAGAATTCCTCTTTTCACAAAAGAATTCTCTGTAGTATAAAATGCTGTTTGATAGCATTTTATCTACACCAGAATTTCTTTCAAAATTGAAGTCAATCCTCTCAAAGCCTGCACTACTTTGTCGATTAGATTTATATAATGTTCTAAATGCTTCGTCACTTCAACAGTGTTCACAGCATCTTTACCAGCAGTGGATTCCATCTCAAGGAATGACTTCCTTTGCTCATTCAAAAGAAGCAACTCATCCATGAAAGGAGATTATCATGAGATTATCTTGAGATTACATCAATTCAATAATATCTTCAGACTCTAAGTTCTCTTGCTGTTTCCACAATATCTAGTTATTTCTTTCACTGAGTTTTGAAACCCTCAAAACCATCCATGAGGGGTGGAATCAACTTCTTCTAAATTCCTGTTAATATGACTGTTTTGACTTCCTCCCATGAATTACAAATGCTCTTAATGTCATCTAGAACAGTGAAATTTTTTCCAGAAAAATTTCAATTTATTTGGCCAACATCCATTAGAGAAATCACTGTATATGGAAGCTATAGTCTAAAAAATATATTTCTTAAATAATAAGAGTGGGAAGTCAAAATTGCTTCTTTATCCATGGGCTGCGCAGTGAATGTAGTGTAGGCAGGCATAAAAACAACATTAATCTTGCTGAACATCTCCATCAGAGCTCTTGGGTGATAAGGTACATTGTCAATGAACAGTAATATTCTGAAAGACATCTTTCTTTCTGAGCAATAAATCTCAAGAGTGGGCTTAAAATATTCAGTAAACCACGATGTAAACAGATGTACCGTCATCCAGGCTTTGTTGTTGCATTTGTAGAACACAGGCAGAGTTGATTTAGTGTAATTCTTAAGGGCTCTAAGATTTGTGGAATAGTCAATGGGCACTGGCTTCAATTTAGACACTAACTTGATGAGCTCCTAACAAGAGAGTAAGCCTGTTCTTTGAATCTTTAAAGTGAGGCATTGACTTCCTCTCCAGCTAGGAAAGTCCTAAGCATCATCTTCCCGTAGAATGCTCTTTGGTTTACCTGAAAATCTGTTGTGTAGTGTAGCCTGTAGCTACCTTTATCAATGGCCTTAGCTAGATCTTCTGCATCACTTGCTGCAGCTCCTACATCTACACCTGCAGCTTCACCGTGTACGTTTGTCTTACGGAGAGGACTTCTTCCCTTAAACCTCATGAACCAGCCGCTCCCAGCTTCAGAAATTTTTGCTTACCTCTGTCAGCCTTCGTAGACTTGAAGAGAGTTAGGGCCTTCCTCTGGATTAGGCTCTGATTTAAGGAAATGGTATGGCTGATTTGATTTTCTATCCAAACCACTGGAACTTTCTCCATATTAAACATAAGGCTCTTTTGCTTTCATATCGTTCATGTGTTTACTAGAGTAGCACATCTAATTTCCTTCAAGAACTTTTCTTTTACAGTTACAGCTTAGCTAACCATTTGGCACAGAAGGCCTAGCTTTCAGCCTAACTCTTCTTTTGGCATGCCTTCCTCACTAAGCTTAATCATTTTTGGCTTTTGATGTAAATCGAAAGATGTGTGACTCTTTCACTTGAACACATGCAGGCCATTGTAGGGTTTTAAATAGGCCTAACTTCAATGTTGTGTCTCAGGAAATAGGAAGGTCCAAAGAGAGGGTGGGAGATTGGGGAACGTGCAGATGGTGGAGCAATCAGAGCACATACAACATTCATTGATTACATTTACCATCTTATGTGGGTGGAATTCATGGTGCCTCCAGACAATCAATAGTAACATCAAAGGTCACAAATCACCATAGCAGATATAGTAACCATAGAAAAGCTTGAAGTATTTAAAGAGGAGCCACAATGTGATGCAGAGACACAAAGTGAGCTGAGATGACTGCATATTTGTGTTGCTTCAGGCCACTAAGTTTATGGTAATTTATTATAGCAGCAATAGAAGATTAACACAGTAATCATCTGGTCAAGACTGAAGTTGTTTAATTATGACCCAAAGCGATTAGTCCACATCTCCAAATACCTTGGCCATGTTCCTTTTACAACATGCCAGACCTGAAAGCAACGTTGTGAGAATGAGAAGCCAGTTGTCCCTAATAAATACATATTGATGTCCATTCTACTTTGCAACATCAGTAACAAAATAAATTGCTATTCTCTCACCAAGGAAATGAAATAAGATTACATGTTTGAGAAGTATGTTCATATTCCATATGTTATATCAATTTATATATAAAAATGTGTGTTTTCTAAAGTATATTTGACAATATTTCTAAAGTGTCCAATCATGAATTTGACATCACTATACATAATTAGAAACACTCCCAAAATAGAACCACTGTCTGGAAATGGTAAGCAACTCATTACCAGGAATAACCAACAAAAAGATCTTGCACTTGTGACAGATGAAATTCTTGCACTTAGTAGGAGATGAGGTTCAATGGCCTTGAAGCTTCTTTCTTATGCCTCGTTTAACAGAAGTGTTCATAATGCAGAGAATATTGACAGTGAAGTCATAGGCAGGAGGAGATATTTTAAGTACTCTCATTAAATATAAGAAGCTGACAACATGGCCCCTGGGAGACTTACATCATTATCTGATCAGTTTCAAAGTGAAAAATAAATACAACTTAGGAAAAGAGGAACCAAAAAGAAGCCACTTAAAATAATAATTATAAAACTATATAATTGTTTGCTGAATGTTTAAAAATGATCAAAGTTGAAGCTATTGAGTTTAGAACTTTTATTTATGTATTAAGAGGACTCTTTACAACAGCTTGAAGAGATTTATTTATCACTTGAGAATACTTTATTGTTAATAAATTAAGCAATTCTGTGGTAAATTTCTGTAACTCAAATCAAGGTGCTTAGCATTAAACAAAAATTTCTTCACATAAAATGTTGTATGTTTGGTATATTCTTTTTGGTTTTTGGCAGCAAATACCACTTAAGTGCTGCTATAGTGTAATTATTTGCATCCCGGGAAAATTCATATGTTGAGATTCTAACCCCCAAGGGGATGGTAGTAGCAGGTGGAACCTTTTGGGAGATGATTTAAGTCATAAGGGCAAAACCTTTGTGAATGAGATTGGTGTCCTTATAAAATAGCTTCAAGGGAGCTCCTTTATCCCTTCCACTATGTGAAAATACAGTGAAAATGTGCCATCTGTGAACCAGACAGCAGGCCCTTACCAGACAGTGAATTTGTCAGCACCTTGATCTTGCACTTCTCAGCCTCTGGAACTCTGAGAAATAAGTTTCTGTTGTTCATGGTCTACTCACTTTATGGTATTTTGTTTTAGCTGGCCAAATGCACTAAGGTGTTATGCAGGCAATCCATTCTTCTCTTTTTTAAGTCAATGGATATGATAAAATTACCCGATAATTGCGTTAGTAAGTATGAGTTCTTAAGACAAAAGCAAAATAGATGAAATGTTCTCCTCAAAGAAGAAATAAGCTATTTTTTATGCCTCATCTATTTCCTATACTCGATTATCTTGTATCCTATCCTTATCAGAGCATCTGAGAGAACTACTTGACTAGAGAGGTTAAATACTGGAAGGCATAACATTCTCCAGAATTCAGATCTGTTTGATCAACTCCACATAGTCTGTCAGCTTAGCACAAGAAAATGGTAGCTTGGAAGACTCCATTTTGATAGGTTGGAGCCTTATGTTTGCCTACAGTGTGAATGCTGTCCAATTCCTATTCCTTCTAAACTAAGGTTGTTTTTCTCTTCTGGAACGCTCAGGATTATCTCCACATCAGAGCAGGTTTGGCGGAGAAGAGAAGACATACATATATTTTTTTTTCTATTGGCCACAGGTCAAAATTAGTATCGCTGTGATGGATCCAGAGTCCACCCTGGTCTTTAGAAATGGATGTGAATAACTCCCTAAATAACTTGTGAAGTACCAGTCAGGTCCACAAATGTTTCCGTCCTGCATGTTCTACACTGAAGAATCTTTTGGGGCTTGAGTGGTTTTAGGTCTGTAGGACCCCCTGTTAAAATACCAATACCCCTAAGAAAAGACACTTTGAGTGTCTAGCATAAATGTAATTAAGGACATAGCGGTAATATGGAATTTGAAGCCTCCATTCCAGCCAAAAAGTTTTTAGATTCAAAATCTTGGTCTTAACATATGTTTTAGTCCTGTCTTATTTCAGAGTGTAACCCATTAAAAGTTCCATTGGTCCTAAGTTTTGCTGTTTCTAAAGGCAAAGTGTATTAACTACATATACCACTCACAAAAGCCTTAAAAAAAAATCTACATTAAACTGCAAGTGTATAAGCTTGTATAGTGCAAATTTTCTGTAGGAAACCACCAACATAACATAGTCTCCAAAATTAAAGCATATAACGAGTTAAATGTTATTTTTGATTTTTGACATGCTCAGTTACTGGAGAAAATGTTTAAGAAATCTTTTCTCCTGTAAGATTAGAACACCAAAAAGTACTTTTTTAAGTGAATACTAAATGATAAACTTACATCAGAATTAAATCTCAACTGGCAAATGTTGCATGATATAATTTGCTTTCTTCGATGGGGAAGAGGAACCCCAAATGTATGGTTTATTACAGCTTTCTGAATCGGGTCCATCTGTAATGAGAAAAAAGAAATACAACACATAGAAATAAACCTTGTCAGTTCCATTGGAATTTTGCCCATTTCATTAAAGAACCAATCTGTACAGCTTCAATTGCTCACATTATAAAGAACCTTTATATTCTAAGAAACAACATTTTTACTTTCTTGGAAAACAGATAACATTAAGCCTAAAGCTCAGTATGATAAGGAAATGATAAATGTACCTATTAGAGCCTGCATGCTAACTGTTTTTCTCATTTAAAAGCAACAATTGTCTCAGTTTAATAACTGTTAAATATAATTAAAGATTTATCAAAATTCAAGTTATTGCTAATACCAGCAATCTAACACAGAAGTATCTCTATACCATTACCCCAAAGTGGACTTCAAAATAGACTGGTCAGTTGGGAAGCCATGAGAATGAATTACACACCATTATACAACATCAACCTTATGCTATGATTGGTATCTTTTAGACTAAGAATATAATATACAAATCCTGCTTTCCAATAATTGAAACCTGGAGCTGTTATTTAAGTCATTCAGCAATCACTTGTTGACCACCTAGTATATAATGTTAACCTATGGACTTATTGGGGGGGTGCCAGAGATTTTGAGCCAGATATCAGTTAACTCTCTGCATTCCATTTCCAGGGCAGGACAAGCAACAACAAAAACTTAATATCAGCAATCCAGCTCTGATAAAGTTAAATGTTCCCTCACCAAGCTTTATCCTATGGTTGCTTTGGCTGGAGTGTGGTGACTAGAGCATAGCTCACTGCAGGCTCAAATTCCTGGGCTCAAGCAATCCTCCCACTTCAGCCTCCCAAGTAGCTGGGAGTACAGGCTTGAACCACCACGCCCAGCCCTTAATCTTAATTCTTATGTAACTTCTTTCACTATCCATGCCCATTTATTAAAGTTGTGATGAAGCTCAAATGTGACAATACATGAAATTTACTTAGGATAGTCAGTCTGGGCACATTAAATAGATGCCATTATATGTTGTGTGTTGTAGCACATATGAAGATCAAGGCTAATATCAGCCTCAAACTCCTTTACTCATTGGCACGTTTCCCATTTTTCACATGATGAGATACTAAGAGTCTTCATAATAGATTGAAATAGATCAGAAATTATTTGATACACACAAAAGTGCTCAGAATCTGTCAGAAATGATGCTTTAATATTCCGCTCCGGTGACACATGATAGTTCATTAATTCCCCTAAATAAGTCATTGATCAATTCCATCTCCTTTTGTGTTTCTCAAATCACTGGAATCAGTTAATTCACAGTCTCTCTCCACTTGAAGGAAGGAGAAAGTTTCTGACTCCTCTGTATTCACAACTCCTCTTAGGTTGTCTAGATACTCTTAATATATGGTTCTGAATAATAACAATAACAGTAAAAATAGTAGCAGCATTTATTATAATGCTTTCCATAGGCTACATCACTGGACTAGTTGATTTGCACATGACATGATTGCAATGATAAAGGAGAAGAGCTCATGGGTGTAATCGTTTTTCTTTTCTACCTTCCCTTTAAATTTATTGTCTGATATTAACGCTTGCCCAAATTCTGGATGAAGCTCAGCCTGTCCTCATTTTTCTGGCCACTTTTATGTATGATAGGTCGGGCGTGGTAGCTCACACCTGTAATCCCAGTACTTTGGGAGGCCGAGGCGTCAGATAACCTGAGATCAGGAGTTGGAGACCTTCCTGGCCAACGTGAAAATAAGATGAGCCAGGCATAGTGGCAGGTGCCAGAAATCCCAGCTATTCGAGAGGCTGAGGTAGGAGAATCGCTTGAACCCAGATTGCAGTGAGCTGAGATCATGCCACCCCATTCCAGTCTGGGTAACAGAGTGAGACTCTGTCAAAAAAAACAAATTATAGGATCACTTCTCTCCTTTACAAGTGAATTCTATAATATTTTAATCTTAACCAATTTTATTTAGGTATTGTATAATTTAAATGCAATAAACATCACCAGTATTAAGTGTACAAGTGAAATGCGAAAAATGCATAGAGTGAGAATAAGAATCACACAGACCTTTTCCACTAACTAGACAAGTTCCCTCTTACTCCTCTGTGGTCATTCTCTGCCTCCTACTCCCAGACCCTGAAACTACTGGCCTGCTTTCTATATATTTTTGCCATTTCTGTCTCTCTCTTTTGCCATTTCATATAAATGGTATCATAGAGTATGCGGTCATTTGTGTCTGGAATCTATCATTCAATACAATGGTGCTGAGATCCACGTTGTTACATGTAACAGTAGCTTGCTCCTTTTTATTGCTCAGTAGTATTCCTCTGTAAGGATGCACTACATGTGTTTATCCATTGACTGAAAGCATTTCATTATTTTCAGTCAATTCTGTGATCAAGCAGCACTGTTATATGGAGTAGGCAAGAAAAAAAAGGGGTTCTTGGGTCAGATAAGATGTAGAAAATCGAGGTACTGCAACGTAAGATCATTCCTAAAATCAGTTAAGTGTCTTAATCCAAACATGAAAAATTAATTTAAAATTACAGTGTCTCTTTTCCTTAGCTTGGGCCTGCTGTAGAAGAGCAATATGAAGGGCCATCGGACACAGTACAGGATTCTTCTTCACATACACTGCCAAGTCTCACCCCAACTAAGCTTCTAAACCTTCCTCAACCTTATTTCCCCAGAACCAACATTAACAATGCACAGAGCTGGAAAAAGTCAGCAGCCACACAAATGTGTGAGTCTGTGCTGCTTCAGTAGCCCTCATTCTTCTCTCCAGGATAATTCTTCTATCGCTTCCATTAAAACAACCCCAGAGAACAATGAAGGGTAATTTTCCCTTCAGCCACCAGCTGACAAAAAATTAAAAGCAGAAAGAGATCATTGACTTACAAGTAGTTGCGTTACCATGTTCTGTTGGTGTACATTCTGTGCACAAATGGGGTGGGTTTCTATTAGGGTATAAGGGGAGTTAATTATGCCTATAACTCATTAAGGAATATTGAAGTTCTCTTATACTTTGAAATAAAAATGAACTGTATATGCATATCAAAGATGCTCTCCTTAAATACATACTGCTGAGTTTTTATCATATTTTGGTGATCAGGTTATTATTATTATTATTACTATTTTTTTTTTTCTTTAGTAACACTGGGGAAGCAGTGACCACATTCAAATGTGACCAAATCTGTAAAGAAGGTATTTTGGGACTAGTTACTTCATGCAAATGTAATATAGTCTTTATATTAAGTTATTTTGTTTGAATTGAATGATGTTCTGATCATTGTGGCTATAAAATCAAATTTCAAAATGCAAAGTGCTATATTCTTCTGCAGAGACAATTTTATTTCCCAGAATACTTAAAAAATACTTAATACCTTTTAAAGAGATTTCACAAACTATAGATACACCATCAAAAGTAATTATCTTTTATCATTTTAAAAATCTAGTACAAGTTTTAACGTCTTAATAAAAATAAATCATATTCACACATATATATACAGTGTTTTACAATGAGGAATTATGAAACAGCAAAACCTAAATAATCAGTTCTGTTATCAAATAGTTAATTAGATGATACCACCTGATGTATAATGAAAAGTAACATCTACCAAATCAGGGGACACACACACAGCTACTTTGATCATTTTGCCGAAACTTATGATTTACTATTATAATCGAATATTTTATATAAAAAGAAAGTCATGTATGTTGTTTTTCTCTCCAGAAACCAACAGGTCTGATCTGTCAAAACAGTAGCATCTTATTTTGCGTATGCATATTATTATCAAGAATTTTTTTTTTACAAAATCTGTCTCAGGCAATGTCTTGAGTAGTAGTACAAGAAAAAAAGGGGTTCTTGGGTCAGACAAGATGTAGAAAATCAAGGTACTACAGCTTAGACATTAACAGCACTCAATACAGAATATTCAAATCTCTGAGATATATAAAAAATATGTTTTAAATGCATGATTTCTAAATATAACCAAAGTTTTTGCTGGTTTTTTAAAAAAATAGCATCATTGTTCAAGGGGTACATTTTAGAAAACAGTGATCTCAGAAAGAAAATTATTTTAAAAATATAAGTAAAATGTAAAGGTTTCAGTACAATAGTAGACACCAAATGAATAATGTAATACATAGAAACTTCATATATAATTCACCGAACCAGGGCAGCCACTGAATTAAAAACAAAAAGAAATGGTGAAGTCTACATTTTAGTATATATTTATTCGATCTCTAAATTGTGATATTTTGAAAGCCAGAATTTTCTAAATCTATTAACAATTCCAAACAAACAAAAATGAAGAACGATACACTACGTATTGATATGCTTACCCAAACTCAAGGCTAAAATTCGATTTCAAACCCAGCCCATGGCCTTATTTAAAGCCAAATGAATATGTTTTTCTTCATTTCAGGCTGAAGAACCTTTGCATTTCTATCTAAGGCTAGGTTTTCCCTCACCTCCCCTCTGGGGATTCTGCTAAATTGATTTTAAATGAGCATACACGGGACATGCTTCAAGCACAGCAGCCTCAGCTCCAGGTTCTTTTCTCTAGGACCCCTGTTGTATTTTCACGGAGGATGAAACTTAACCTTGAGTTTACAGTTCCTGCTCTAAGAGACCTCTTCGCTCTCTGTTTCCATTATTACTGTGGCTTTCAGTTTTTAAATCAAAGAATAATAACTCAAAATGCCAGGAAGTTTAGAAGTCCAGAAATAAAAAGGTTGTCTTTTTCAGCTGGTATTTATATGTAATAATGTCCAGTAACAGTAACTTTAAAGGTTACACTTACAGGCACTTTCTGTGTGTTGGATGGTCATAGAATTGTCCAATTTCACATAACTGAGTGGGAAACTTGCTAACAATCACAAGCCTCTCACCATACCTCTGTGAGTCTCTCAGACGCTATAATCAAGCTTTGTAATATTCATCATATTCAAATATGAACATTTGTGACTCTCCAGTGTGAAGTGACACTGAGTGGAGATCCTGGTATATTTATTACATCAACTT